GGCCATTCCAGATGCAAAGTTAACATACAAAGAATGCAAGCGGAACAGACCGTTTTGGTTTCAGAACGAGCCATTCCAGATCATTAAAGAAGGGGGTGAGGAGGCATGCCACCTATGCATCTACGTGGCATCCACGTCATCACATTTAACACCGTTTGTGAAATTTGGATGGAAAGTCTCACATTGACATTTTTTAAATTATTGGGAACCAAATTGAAATAAAAAATTATAGAAGGACGAAATTGAAACTATTAATTATTATTATAAGGGACCAAATTATGTATTTTTCCGTAAAAATATGTTATTTCACGTTGATCCATAAGATTAAACATTGATTTTAACTTAAATAATTCAACTAGTTGAAAAAATATAGTTCCTGAAAAATAACAAATGCAAAATATTTTATACGCTGATATGCTGTGATCCTCCATTTCATATTTCTCGTTAAGTGATTTCAAGGGGAAAAGTACATTCTTCCTTTCTTAGTGTCGTACTAAATAAATGCTTTCCTTACTTCAAACAAAATGGTTCATTAATATATACATTTCATAAGCACTTAACTGTTAAATTACTAAAAAATGGCAAAAGGGTGATTCATGATTCAAAACCACATTAGAAGGCTGTATCACAATTCAGAACACTTACCTAAAGCTATAATTGAACCAGCACTGCAATGCAGTGTTTATATCCATCCATTATTTGTGTGTTAACTTTGCATCTGGAACGGGCCATTCCAGATGCAAAGTTAACATACAAAGAATGCAAGCGGAACAGACCGTTTTGGTTTCAGAACGAGCCATTCCAGATCATTAAAGAAGGGGGTGAGGAGGCATGCCACCTATGCATCTACGTGGCATCCACGTCATCACATTTAACACCGTTTGTGAAATTTGGATGGAAAGTCTCACATTGACATTTTTTAAATTATTGGGAACCAAATTGAAATAAAAAATTATAGAAGGACGAAATTGAAGTTTTTCTCGAGTAGGATTACAAGCACTCACAAGGTGGACCAGCTGGTTAAATAATTTATAATGAGCCAATGTTTACTAACAGTTTGGATTTTTTGATTGAATGTTGTAGGGTTTAGATGCATTACGGTAGCTAATTAGTTTTGATAGGCTGAGTTTATTTCAGTTCGAAAATTATAAAAGTTGAGGTTATTTATTTATTTATTTATTTTTGTAATAAGGTTAATTTTTAGGATACAATTTGTCTTGTTTGAAGGTTTGTCCTAACACTTTAAAGTCTACTTAAGTGATCTAACTTATTTGAAGCTTCTATGATGGTGATACTATGATTTTATTTTTGTAGATGTATCGAATAGGTCCCAAATTCCTATACCAAAGACTTGTTGACTATTGCTTTCAAATCAGTAAGTGATGAGCCTAAATTATACTTGTTTTTATACAAGATTTAATGATCAAATTCTTCCATTCTTTGTATCATTGCATTTTAATTGTTCTCATTTTGGTTTCTTTTGTATATGCAGGTATTCAAGTAGAGAATTGAGGATAAAAAGGCCATTGGAGTGGAAACTCAAAGAATTAAGGAGCAGAGAAGGCTACCGCGCTGAGCGCGCCAGAACACGCGCCGAGCGGGCACAAAACAGAGAGAACTCTCAGCCTTTGGAGCTTCACGCTGAGCGCGCAAGTAAAACGCGCTGAGCGCGCTCGAGGCCGAGAGCAATTGGAGCATCAGGGAAAGCACCCGCGCTGAGCGCGCAGCTTAACGCGCTGAGCGCGTAAAACCTAATCTGTCTCCCCAAATGCGTATAAAAGGCAAATTTTGAGGGTTTTCTCCCTCATTCACTCAGGGGCGCCTCCAGGAGCTGTGGAAGGGATTCCCAGAGCTTGGGAACGGCCATGGTGGATCATTCCTTCGGTTCTTCCTTTCCTCTTCCATCTCTATTTTATTTTTCCCCTCTTTGTTTTGAGAGGTTCTATCCTTTGTATTGGGGTTTTGATGTAACCAACAAACTTTATTGTAATCCTTTTGTGTTAATGATATATATATGTTTTGTTTCATTCTTTGTTGTGTATGATTCCATGCTTAATGCTTGCTTTGGCTTGATCACCCTTTGCATGATTTAAGGTTTCATTGAGTATTGGGAAATATCCTTGAAACTAGTTCTGAACATATGCCTAGTGGGAATTGTACCTAGGGATAGGGCTTGACCCATTAGTAGTCTTAAAACCCTAACCGGTAATGCGGGTGGAGGTATTGAGTACTCAAGGGATTGATATTCAATATTTTGCACCTAGGCTCTTTCTCTAAGGAATTAGGTCTGAGTAAATTTATGGTTGACTGAACAATGAATGTAACAAGAGACATAGGATTCACTAGTGTTTGTTTGGTGAAATCAAACCCCCACAACTTCAAGTGTCCATTTTACCATTTCTCACCCCATTTCATTTCTAATTCATTTATTTGTGTTTTAACAATTCCAGTAGTTTTGTTCTTAAATTCATATTCATATTTATTGGGATTGTTCTCAAGTCACAAGTAGCCAATGAATGCTTAGTTTACCTTCTAATCCCTGTGGATACGATATTTTTACTACTTGTACGGCCGGTACACTTGCCGTATTTGAGTCCGTTGAGGGAAGTAACCTAATCTATAATTATAATAAAAAGTACTTCAACGGAAATCTCAACAGTAAGATACCCCCATGATAGTGTCGCAAGGATCTGGATGTCACATGGATAGGCTAGACATAATACTTTGGTAGGTTGATAAGTGTTTGGTCCGATGGACATTTCCCTCCGTGATCAAGCTTGGGTAGAAAATACGATCCAACCATTATGCGATAATAAAAGGTCTTAAATGTATTTAAATGACTAGATCTTTAAAAGTAATATTTTTTCATCTATACACACACATACACACACACACACACACACACACACACACACACACACATATATATATATATATATATATATGTATGTATTTGACCTTCAAAAGGTACACTTTTACTAAGAAATAGATCCAAACACTTTAAACATCTACTAACTTAAACATTAGAATCCTTTTTGTAATTACAAAAATCATTTGCAATCTTGGAAATTGAGGACCGAGGACTAAGGATTGAGAATCGAAGACTAAAGACTTTGGATTGAAGGTTTTGGACAAATACTTCACAACAAGTACAAGAGATTTTACCATTAAGTTGAACCATGGTGTCAGGAGTATAAGGTTGGTCTAGTAGTTTGGGGAGGAGGGGCATATGATTGGAATGATAAGGAGAGTATGTGTTTGCATCCCTCAACTAACATAACAACTAACAATTAACATTTATCGATAAGAAAAAATGGTGTTACCATTAAATTATGCACCATCTTGTGACTACCAAACATGGTAGCCATCAATGAAATCCAAACACTATCTTTTAAAACACATTTTACATAAACACAATGTAGGGATAACAAAGTGGATCTACTCACCTAAAGCGAAGTGGGACAAATTGACCCACCAAAAAAGTAGGGCAAGGTGGGTTAGTCCACCAAAAAAAATAGGATAAAAAAATGCAACTCGCCCCACTTAGTGTAGGTTGACAAGTTGACCCACTTTAATGAGTTGGTAAGTTAAAAATGATAAATTAATAAGTTGACCCACCTTCAACCCATCCATTTAAAAAAAAAATCAATTAAAATATTTCAACATACGTTATTACTTTAACTTATATTTTATTATTATTTGTAAAATTTATTAGATGTATTATATTTTGATAAAAAGGGATAAAGTAATATATATATATTTATTTTAAAAAAAGATATTATACATGAAAATGTGCTAGTAAAAAAACATGTGATTAAAACAATATACTTCTGTTTCATATAAAATGAGAATAATTATCTAATAAAAGAAGTTAAATTATAAAATAAAAATATTGATCAAATATAAATTCACTACAAGTTTATCTTTTAAAAATATAAATAAAAAAAGGTTGGAGGGTTGAACCTGTTGGGTTGGCCTATTTGGCAAGGTGAGTTAGTGAGTTTATTAGTCCAATCCAACTCACCAAAATTAGGTGAATTGATGGATTGACTAACCTAATTCAACACACATTGTTATCCCCGAAACAATGCTAGCTAAGTTGTGATTGTTGTGATAAGAAAAATTAAGTTGTCTTGATTTTTTATTGGGAATTTATTTCTTTTTCTAATGTGTCAACATTGTTTAATTAAATAAGCATGATCCATTTTAAAAAATCTATGTTTAGTCTATTTGTTCTTAAAGGCTTATGGGGGTGAAAATATGTCAAGTGAACTATTAAGGCTCATGCTTTTAAATAAATCGAGTTAGACCTTAGATATTTATCTTTAATGAGTTAGGTTCAAACTTTGTAATTATAAGTTAGATTAAAGTAAAACTTATCAAAGTTTAGTTTGACCAAACATATTTTCACCTCTAAATATTTTATTTAATATTAAAGTTTTTGGACAAGTCTAATTCATATAATTAATATTTATTTTATATATAGTAATTTAAGATTTAAATATTTGCTTTCATCCTTACAAATATCATTTTATTTGTTTATTTTAATTCTAGTAAATTATATTTTTTAACCTTTATCACTACAAAAATTTTATATACAATGACATGTAAAAAATGTTACTACAGATATAGATATAAATCTATTTGACATATAATTACACACAATTTTAATGTTCATTTTGAATGAAATTTAACAACATATATTATATTTCATTATAATCTATATATAACATTGACTCTTTTTCTACATGGAACAATAGGATCAAATACACATTAAAAAGATTACAAAAAAGTTTTATTCTCATGTTACCTATATTTTTTTTGTTCATTAGCTAAAATTTTAAGTGTTTTTTTCTCCTTCTACACTCCAAACCCACCAAACCCAAATTCATCGTGGGAGCAATACTTTTTGTTTGTTTTTGTTTTTTGCATTTTACTTTTTTCTTGAAGCTTCCCGAACCTGCACTGATGCAGATGATATTTATTTTAATTTAAATTTCTTGCGCAGAAAGTAAAGAGTGGACAAATGGGCCTATCCATTCACTCCACCTTGTTCCGCCCTTTGAATAGTCAAATATTACGTAGGGTGAGAGGCCTTATATTAGTATTAGTAAAGTAGTTTCAGTGTTGAGAAGAAGATAGATATGGAAATAAGGAGAGAGATGATGGGAAGTGAAAAGGTGAAGTTAGTGAGTTCAGTGTTGAGTCCAGTTGGTCGCAGAGTTGAATGGGTGCTAAAGCTGAAGGGTGTTGATTACGAGTATGTGGAAGAAGATCTCTTCAACAAAAGCAACCTCCTTCTGGAACTGAACCCGGTTCACAAGAAGGTTCCGGTTCTTGTTCACCATCACAAACCGATTGCTGAGTCACTCATCATCCTTCAATACATCGACCAAACATGGAACCAATATCCACTGTTGCCCCAACATCCTTATCAAAGGGCGCTTGCACGCTTTTGGGGCACTCTTGCTGATAAGGTAATTTATCACACCTTCATCTTCTTCTTCTTCTTTTACCTTTTCAATTTTTCATGTTTCATGGATTCACTCTTTCTTTCCAATGTAAATAACACACATTCTCACCACCAGGGGTAAAATGGACAACACGACTATATTTTTAATATTTATTAATTAAATATTTTATAATATAATAAATCATTTTTTGTTAAGAAAAATAATGTAAGATATTTAATTTTCTTGCCAATTTAATTTATATAATCATTATAAAAAGTTTTTATATAATTATTATTATTTTCACTCAAATAAAGTAACAAATAATAGTGTAATATATTTTTTAATTTATTTTTTGCTTTCTATTTTTTTTTTCTTACTTCATATGCATCTCACTCTTCGTAAAGCGCAGAGAAAGTAAAATTCTCCTTTTCCTATTTCCACTTTTTTTTTGTTTTTTTTTTTATTTTATAAACGTGATTTCAGGATAAAGTTATATACCTACTTAAGCTTTGATGTTTAAGTTAAAATTGAAGTTGAGTTTCTGATTAAAGAATACTAATTTAAATTACTTGTAGTAATGACTTTCGATGCCTTTTTAACGGTATAAGAGTTTTGCTTAATTTTATATATAATTTAAATTATCATTCAATCAGAAATAACTTTTGAAGTAGTTATGTAAAAATAAAAAAAAAATACTATATATAATAATTTGTAATTAAATAATACTATAAAAATATTTTTATACTATTCACACATAATTTAGTGGTAATGATAAGAATGAATGCAAAATATGATATTACTTTATGAACAGACCACCGAAAAAAAGCAAATAATTGAAATGTTTGGGCTTTAAATAAACTCTTTTGAAGGGCACATAGCAATTGGGCCATGGACTATTAAGCCCGAATTGAGAAGAGCTTTGAGTAATTTCCTGCATGAATTGAATAGGTAATTTTTGAATGAAAATGTAATGTAACAGCTTGCAAAGACATCATGGGATGCAATGTGTGGCAGCGGGGATGAACAGGAGAAGACAGTGAAGGAAGCGAGAGAAGTAATGGATAAGTTAGAAGAAGAGATTAAGGGGAAGAGATTCTTTGGAGGGGACAGAATAGGGTACATTGACATTGCATTTGGATGGATCCCTTGCTGGCTTCCTGTTTGGGAAGAGGTTGGGTCAATGCAAATAGTAGAGCCTTTGAAACACACTGCCATATCTGCATGGATCAACAATTTTCTGAGCCACCCTGTTATCAGTCACAACTTGCCACCAAGAGACAAACTGCTTCTTTATTCCCAACGTCGCAAAAAGGACTTTTCCTCTACTCTTCGTCCTTAGGAAAAACCTATCCATCTTTGCATGCATGCACATTATGTGTGTCTTTTCAATTACTTTGAATTTAATAAGAAACTTAAGGGCTGTTAAATAAATACTGAGAGGATTTCAGGGAGCCATGAAATATCTAATTACATTTTGGGCTACAAATCCCTCTCACTTGTCGTAATTGCTACTAGGTTCACATGAACCTGTTGCTAGCTAGCTCTGTCCTTTCTGCAAATTATTATTGTTATGGTCCCTCCAATTTCTATGTCACGAGTTGGATTTATTAATTGATTTGTCTCTTATACAAATTTAGCTTCATAGTCTTTACCAAAAAAAAAAAAATTTAGCTTCATAGTAATTTTTAATGACATGATATTTTTTTTAAGTAGATATTATATTGTTTAAAATTTTACATAAACTATAAATATATACTCTTTCTATTCTATAATGACCGTAGTAATATTATTAATAGTAATTAATTGTACATTTGTACTCATCTCATGACAAAATACACCTACTCGTAATTATAATTTTATAAAATTTTAATTGGATTTTTTTTGTCAATAAGTGAAGAAAATATATATATATATATATATACTCTAAAAAAAATAGAAATAAAAATATATATTAACTCTCGAAGAGGGAAAAAAAACGTGCATGAGTGATGCTAGAAGAAAATTTACAAATAAAAAAAATTATGAAAAAAAAAATTTTGCCCACCAAAATTTTATCACAAAAAAATTAAGAAAAACAGTGGCGATAAAAAGGAGGTAAAATTGTATGGAAAACAAAGGAGGGAAGAATTATTATGTAGGTAAAAACTCTACATTGAAGGGATAAAAAGAGGAAAATTAGAGCCTTAAGTCTTTGGGTACATGACAAAATTTATGTATATCACAATAAAAATTTCACATTTCTCCCATCTCTGTTATGCAATTTCTCAATCTTTTATCCGTGCTAAAAGAAATTATGCACCATACAAAAAAATTAAGAGTTAATGAAAAGAAGTAAAATATAAAAAAAGTCAAGAATTTTCGTACTTAAGTGTATGTGTTTTACTATTCTTTTGTAAGCGAAAATTTAATCAAATTTTATATCTTAATTAATATAATTAATAATAATAATAATAATAATTTAATTTCAAAATACTAGCTACTTTATACTACAATCAATAATACCCACCCCTGCCTGAACCTACCTTGATTTAGATGGGAAAATTCGTGTTTATCAGGTTCGAGTTTTTCCGATTGATAAAATCGGGGGCGGGGACGGGAATGTTAATCCCCACCCCGCCGCGCTTAATAATATAATTAAAAAATTACTTTTATATATATATATATAAAAACAAAAATAAAAAATATTTATATGTAAAAGTTTATATTATTTTACTTTTTTTTATTTTTTTAAAATTGTTCATATTTATTTAAAATAAAAAAGAAAAGAAAAAAAATAAGAGCGGGGGCGGGGCAGGAAAACCCGAACCCCGCTGAGAGCGGGGATGGGGACCCAAATTTTACTCCCGGCGAGTATCGGGGACGGGGGCAAGGGCGAGGAACGTAAAATCTGCCCCGCCCCACCCCGTTGTCATACCTAATCATACCACCTTCTCGCAATTATGATTTTATAAAATTCTAATTAGATTTTTTTTTGTCATTAAACGAAGAAAATATAATATATATCCTATAAAAAAAAGTGAAGAAAAAATCTTATCTCGCCAAAATTTTATTACAAAAAATTAATAAACATAATGACTACAAAGGAGGTAATGATTGTATAAAAATTAAAGAAGGGGAGAATTATGGTGTAGCAATAACTTTACAATGAAGGGATAAAAAGGAAAAATTAGTGCCGTAAGTTTTTGTGTACATGAAAAAAATTATGCATACCACAATAAAATTCTTCATTTCTCCCATCTGGTTATGCCATTTCATAATTTATCATTTATGTTGAAAAGAATTATGCATCATAGAAAAAATTAAGAGTTAATAAAGATGAGTAAAATATAGAAAAGTCAAGAATTTTTGTACTCAAGTCTTTGTGTTGTACTAATTCTTTGAAAGTTTTTGTCTTTTGTGATTCTTCAATTTCTAGGCTAATGAATATTGACATTAAGTGAGATATCAAAATGTGTAAAATGGAAGAAAAAAAAGAAGAAGAAGAAAATTATTGGGAAGTGAGGAATATGCATACATAAGTTCTTTGTGATTGGTAATTTCCCAATTTCTAATCACAAATGACAATAGTCATTAAGTAGGTTATCAAGATGAGAAAAAAACATAGAACATGAAGTCTCCCATTTACATTCATAACAAAAAATTATGCTTATCGCAATTTCAAATTCTTTTCATTCGTGATTTCACAATTTTTCCATTCCCATTAAAAATAAGGGGTTGCTAGTGTACCCCCAATAAATGAGAGGTTTAAGTACTGTATCTAATGTGTATGTACACATCATTTAAATGTCATGTCAGCCTTTTAAATAAGAATTATTTTGTATTTAAATTTTTATTATTTATTTTTAAGTTTTTATTAATATTTTTATAATTATACAGTAACCCTTGTTTTACCTGATCTCTCCTCTTCCCTCCGTCTCCCTCCGCCCCTTCCTCCTCTCCTCTGCCCTTCCCTCCTCTTCCCCGCCCCTCCCTCTTCTCCCTCCTCTCCCGCCTTGTTGACCTCTCTACCGTTGACGCTGCCACCCACTCCCCTCCACTAATGCCTGCAGATTGCGCAAGGGAAAGGCCTGTGCAAGGCCTGAAGATGAGGAGACTGAAACCACCGACATCCATCGCACGAGTTTGCTTGGAGAGAGGCTCAATCGTGCACTAATACGACCACTCTCGTTAGAGCCACCATCTCGAGAAGCTGATACTCGATCTCCCCCTGTTGTGCCCTCCACGACTCGCCGGCAATAGCGGTCTCCGCCTTCGCCGTCTCGCTCGTCGGCCTGTAGAGAGGGAAGAAACAGGAAGCCAAAAAGACAGGAAGCCAGAAAGATTCCGGAAAAAAAAAAAAAGAAAAAAAGTGGACTTCATATTAACCATTTATCTGACGTGGGTGTGAATTTTAAATAATTAAAAAATTATAAATAACTTGAATTTACACGTAAGTGACACATCATCAACAATACCGGTACCCTTCTTTTATAGAGGGTACCGTAGAAATTCTCTTAAAAATAAATATGCCTGATAGAAAAATTGATTTAACAAAAAGAAGAAAAATGTAGAAAAGTGAAGAATTTATATACTTGATGATTTTGTGTTTTTCTGATCTCTTTGAAGTCTTTATTTTTCATGATTCTATAATTTCTAGTGCTAATGAAAATAGTTATTAACCGATAGGTCAAAATATCAAAAGACAAAAATTGATTATTGACCATTTCATAATTAATAACAAACATCCGATTTCTTATATTCATAATTAGATATTATTATATTACAAATAATCATTAAAAATTATTTATATAATAACATGGTGATTCTTATAAAAGAGCGAAAAAAATAGACTATCCTAAATTTAATAATATTAAGATAAAAACAACTAAAAATAACTTTATGTACACATATCCGTCAATATAATATTCACGAATACTGATTTTGATTCAATAAAATATTGTGTTTATTTTTTATTCTTTTAAAATTTGAAATTATTATTAAGATTGATTATTTTCAGATTATAGTTTCGTAGCATTATTTAAGAAAACTGTTTGTTTTTTTCAAAAGAAAAACTGTTGGAAAGGGAGCTAAAGTCAAATTAATGAAACTAAATAGTCTTCATGTTTAGTCACAAATTATTAGGTGATTTAGTATTTAAATTAAATGTTCATAATCTAACAAAATCACCTAATAATTTTTCTTGCTCAGCAGTCAGCACGAGCGGTGGAAAAGAAGCCATAAAAAAATTGGTAAGATTGTGACACGTGACGGGAAACGACAATGATAAAAGAGAAGAAGCCGACACAAAGATAATTTGGTGAAATTACGAAAATAAGCGATCAACACAGAATAAATGGAATAAGAAGGCGCGTAGAAGAAAAGAATGAAGTGAAGCTCCGAAGTCGGAAAGAAAAGAAGATGGAAAACGAAGATGTGAAGCTGTTCAACTTTTGGGTGAGTCCATTCGGCAAAAGGGTGGAGTGGGCCTTGAAACTCAAGGATGTAAAGTACGACTATGTCGAAGAAGATATCTTCAACAAGAGCAATCTCCTTCTCCAGTTGAACCCGGTTCACAAGAAGGTTCCGGTTCTTGTGTACAGCTGCGTACAGCTGCCACCACCTTTCGGTGGTTTTCTAATTTTATATTAGAAGCGGGTCCCACATAATAATAAAATAATATTAAAAGTTTAGGAGAAATTACGAAAATGCCATTGGGACTTTCCTATAAATAGGGAAGCTGAAAACCATAATTTTCATCCCAAACCTTCTTCTCTTCTCTCTTCCTCTCTTATACACCTTGAGATCTGTTCTCGGTAGTAGTAGTCTCCTAATTCAAAGGAGTAAGTTATAGAGAGAGAAGTGTTGTAATTTCCTCCCTTTCAGTAAATAATATTTTTACTGTGGTTATTTTCTCCCTTGTCTCTTTTTTTCTTGTAGTATTTGTTTTGCTTAATATATATTTACAATTTTTTCTGCCTTAATGGATTTTATTTATCTTTAATACATGTTTATTTAATTTTTTATCATTGAGAGAAAAATACATGTTTATTTAATTTGTGTACTTAATTTATTTATTATATGTTTATTCGTTCTCAATATAGTCCACATTGTTGGTCCTTGTTTACTAGAATCTAAAAAGGGAGTTGAATAGATTATATCCGTAGATGACTCTAATTTCGTAATTTATTGATTATAGCCTATTTAAAACTCAACCTTTAATCAATTTGACTTAATAAATTACAACAGATTACAATATATAATACCAATATAACAAAATTTCAATGTTAACGTAGCAAATCAGTCACTTGTAATCAAGGTTAATTTTATATTATCAACTTCTTAATCAATTTCAATTACAAGAATAATATTCAGAGTATAAGAGGTAATTGAAATAACATATCATATATCTTTGAATTCTTTAATAAGATTCATAACAAGATTATTAAAGAGATAAGGGTAAGAAGATAGAGAACACAAAAATTTATACTAGTTCAGCCATTCACTTGGCCTACATCCAGTTTTCTCTTATTTAGCATCCCACTAAATCAAATATCATTCACTACAATATTGTTTACAAACACTATGCCCACGCAATATTACAAGAATGTAAACACACATCAATCTTGACACTACAAGACTAAAAAATATACAAATTTTTGCACCCTACAGAAATTACTTGAGAAATCTCACTCAAGATTTCAAAATCTCTTATTGAGACACCTTATCTCAAAAGATACATCATACAAAATGAAAATATAGTTTAAAAGATAAAAAAAATATCACCTAATTTGTGTAAACATTGATCTTTCACAATAGAATTCACTTCTTGAATTTCTTCTTTCAGTTTCTTTGATATTATTCTTGTTTTTAAAAGTATTCTTTTCTCTAATGTTCTTTTTCAAAAAGGTTCTCTTATAATTTTATAAAAGATAGGTATTTCAAGTGGAAGGTGTAATTGATTTATAAAGAGCCATAACGAAAGTAATCTGTTACTTGATGACGTTTTGTTTTTGTAGTTCAATAAATAAATAAAATACATACCGATTGAAAAGCAAACATAAATTATTTTATCCTATCTGAGAATTTGTGGCCAAATCTGACACAACAACAAAAATTGTTTTTAACGACAATTATTTAATAGCAATAATTTAATTGCCGCTATTTAATTATATAATAAAAATATTAATAGTTAATATATAATAGCCACTAAAAGTGTATTTATATTACACTAAAATTTGCTATTAGTGACAATTATTTATTGAAAAAAATTAGTCTCACATTGATTAGAGATAAGATAATTAAATAGTATATAAGTGAGTAATAACTATCATTTTATAAGTTGATTTATAGGGTTGAGTTAGACTCTTAATTCACTATAATAAATTAGTATCAAATTACCACTATTTTTCACCTTATAAATCTCACATCTCTTAAGAGATAAGACAATTAAAAAAATAAATTAAAAAATATATAAATAGAAGACAACCTTCATCTTACACATCTCACATCGACTAGAGATAAAAAAAAAAGAGTATATAAGTTATGAATTTAGAAAGTCACTAAATGGATGGAAAGGAGACAATTGAAAAAATAACTTTTAATAGCCTTTAAAATGGCTACTAAAATTGCCACTAAAAAAAATAAGTTTTCCCGACAATTTAGTAGGTCTTTACCAACATTTTATATAAATGCTGGTAATAGTATTAGCGACACTAGATACACCAGCCATTATTTAAATGCTGGTAAAAAAAATAATGACCATTTATATGGTCGCTAAAGAATAAATTAATTGCCACAAAAACCTAATTTTGGTGTAGTG